GGTCCCAAAAGGGAAGTTTTTCTCAGCACTGTTATGAAAATTAACAAACACAGAGAAAAAAAGATTGTATAATAAATACCTATATATTTATCATCTAGATCTTATAATTAACATTTTGATATATTTGCTTTTAAAAATATCTATCCATCCTTCTATGCAACCATCAGTCTCTCTTATTTTTTAAAAATTTTAATTTATTATTTTAATTTTATGTGTATGAGCATATTGCCTGCATGTGAGTGCATCCGTGTCGTGCAATGCTGCGGAGGTCAGAAGAGAGTGTCAGATTCCCCTGGAACTGGAGTTAAGGATGGTTCATAGCCGCCATATGGGTGCTGGGAATCGAACCCAGGTCCTCTGCAAGAGCAGTCAGTGCTCTCAACCTCTGAGCCATCTCTCTAGCCCTACTTTCTCTTATTTTTTACTACACTTCACACATATAATTTGAATTTCATATTTATAAAAACTGTTAAGGTAAAATTTATATACCATAAGGTGCACAAATCTTTAAGTATACCATTAGAGAGTGTTGATGAAGTATATACATCTGTGCAATCCAAATCTCTATTAAGATCTTACCATCACCCAGGAACCTCCCTTATCCCCTTCTCATTCAGTTCCTGCTGCCATCTTCACATTGTTGTGGAAGTTTTCCAGCATAGGCTTGTTTTGCTAGTTAGAACATAATATGCATGAAATCATGTATCATGCACTATTTCATGTAAGGTTTCTTTCACCGTGTTTCTAAGATCCAGCCATTTTTCTTGTGATCAGCAAGTCATTTCTTTTTATTACTGTATTCCATGGTACTGATCAACTTGCTTGTTCACTCTCCCAAGGATGGGCATTTTGGGGCTGTTTCCTGTTTTTGTGTGGGTGTATGTGCAAGTGCATGGAGGCCAGAGTAGGCATCAGCTGTTCTGCTCTATCACTCTTCACCTTATCCTTTGCGACAGGGACTCACTGAACCCGGAACTAGGCTAGTGGCCAATAAGCTCCAGTGATCCTCCTTCTTCCAACCCCACAGCACAGAGGTTATAGGTGTGGCTATGCCTGGCTTTTATGTGGATGCTGGGATCTCAACTCAGGTCCTCATGCTTGTGAAACAAGTGCTCTTAGCCAATGAGCCATCTCTTCAGCCCCTCTTGATTTCTTGATATTAGGAATAAAGGTGCTATGTATCATTTTCAGAATAAAGACTTGATTTCTAGACAGTTTCCAAAGGTGACTAATGAAGGTTTTTATTATTACAAAATTATAGACTTTATTACATGATATGTTTCAATCAATTGCTGTCTTTTTTTCATTTTGATAATTGCCCCATTTTTGGCTAGTGGTAATTCCTTCAAGTCAGCTCTTATACCCTTTCCTAAAACTCTAGGAGTCTGTTAACTTCTTTGCTTTCAGGCACAAGAGGATGTCCAAACTTGTCCTGTTTTTGCTCCAGATCCGAAACCAGATATTTCTCCAAGCAACCTATTTCCTTTTTGTGGGAAAAGGTCTTTAAACCCACAGTGTGAGTTCTAGGCATATTGCTGCTCAGTTATTATTGCCTCAAGTTTTCAATGGGCAGAGTTTAAAAAGGTATACTTTATAGAAGAAAAAAATTTACAAGTACATATTCTTATTAAACTACAAGGCTTTGACTTCTTTGATTTAGTAAGCAATTTTGGCTCATTTGCTCTATCCTATACATATTGGTTTTAAAATAACAATGTCTACATCATCAGCAACAAGATTACTTGCTATGTACAATTTCTTTGTGATTCTTTTTATCATTAAGATATAGTAGGTTAAGTTCAGTAACTATTTTACTACCAAGTAAAGTAAGAAGCCATAAGTTTAGGCTGACAAAATGATTTTGTTTATGCAAAAAATAAAATATAATAAGAAATGTTGGAATCAGAAAATTACCATTTGGCATTTTCATTAACCTGGCTACTGAGGTAAGTATCATCAAGGATGCTAACTAGTTGGGGAAAGTTTGAAGAGTGACAGGACATTTATATAATCTTGAAGTACCTTTCTACAGTATACTTAATAGTTACAAAGGGGAAATAGTAGTATTACAGGGAGAAGGCTGGCAGAAACTAGCAAAGTGAGCATTGCCTGTAATGAGACTAAGCAATAGCACACACTCCCCAATATGATGCACTGAGAACCTAGGGGCATGGTCATGGTATCTGGGCAAAGAGCGCAACCAGATCTAATCACAGAGAAGAAACTGAGACACATTCGAAAAAGCATCATGCTTATATTCTTCAAATATAGCTTTGGAAAAAGGGTTTCAGCGTGACTAAAGAAATGTAAGAGCTAATTGTGATACATGATCTTTTTTTTTATTTTCACTATAAAGGATATTGTTTGGATAACTGATGAAATTTGGAACAATGATTGTCCATTACATAATAGTATTCTTTCAATTTAAAATCTCTAATTTTGATTACTGTATTGTAGATATAGAAAAGAATTTCTCATTTTTAGGAAATACACAGATAGATGAAAAGAAGAGATAGATAAGAGAGATAGACAAAGGTAAATGTAGAGAAAATTTGCCATGGCATTAATATCTGAGTGAAGAGTATCCAGAATTCTTTGTACTATTCATGTAACTTTCTTGTAAGTCTAAAATGATGACCCGAAACCCCATCCTATTTTAAAAAGCACCCAAAATAATTCTCCATGTGGTTATACTTTCACCTTGCACTGTAATTAGGTTCATTTGATTTCATTATATTTGTATTTGTATATAGTTTGGTGTTTTAATTATATAAAATGTACCTGTCCTTCCAAACTCGAAACTCTGAAACAAATAACATTCAGAGAGGTCTAGCTTTTGTATTCTTTTCCCATTTTCAATGTCTCCTTCCATTTTTCTTAATTTTTAGTTTTTACAATTATAGGATATAAAAATAAGAAATAAAATACATAAAAAATTTATAAAAGTTCATATAATGTATTCTGTAGATATAGAAGGTCCCTTCTAAGTGTTTCTGTTTTCTTAGGGAAATAAAAAGCAACCAGGTGAGAGTGGGGAAGGAAATGGTGCTGCTGGCAGTCAGAGAAGGTTGAAGGTGTGAAAAACTATTTTTGAAGGAGGATGAAGTAAGGCAGTAGCTCTCAAATGTTAGCACAAGAATCACATGCACTTCTTGCCCTCAGCTCCACAATTCCTGGCTCTTAGACCTGGATTAGGTTAAGGGTGCACTTTCACAACCTTCTGAGTGATGCTCACGCTACTGGTCTGGGGACCATGCTTCGAGAACCACCGGGCTGAGGACAATAGGATTCAGCAACAAGGATTGCTGGCAGCACAGGGGCCCACTTAAGACTTCTGATCACCAATCTAAAGCTAGGTCATTGTGTAGGATTGTGTGCTAGTCCCCAGCTGGTATCTTTGCTGGTAAGATTCAGACATGGGGGAGATGGTGAGCTGAATTTCACTAGGATTGAATTTCATGTAAAGAGGGGATGGTGATATCAGCAATAGAAGGCACCAAACAAACATATACTTTTACTTCTCCTATCTTCTTTCTATCTTCATATAAGTCAGTAGGCTGTGATACCAACATAAGAAAACCAAGAAAGGTCAGTGGAAAAGATACATAGGAATGAGCATACATAGAGACAAATACAAAGTTCAGAATGAAAAGGAGCAAGCTCATATAAAGAACTAGAAGATGATAATACTCAAATCTGATGGTAGCCTTGCTGACTCACACAGAGGAGGAAATGTGGTCACAATATGAGAAAACTAGCATTTAAAAACACAATTTTGAAAATGGATGGCTTAGATGTATAGGTGTGGGACAATATCACATTGTGATTTCATGAAATAAAAACCATTTTATGTCTGTTCTAGCCATAAAAAAATCCTGCCAGGATTTTGAAGAGATATTTGTATATATATGTTCATTACAGCATTATTCACAATTGCCAAGAAGTTGAGACAACCCACTTATCCACTGAAAGATGAATGGATAAAGAAAATGAAATATAACCAAATAATGGAATAATATGCAGCATTAAAAATGGAGGAAATTCTTTCACATGCTACATGGGTGAACCTCAAGGATGCTAGGCTAAGTGAAATAAAGTGCTCACAGAAGAGCAAATGCTGTATGATTATACTCTTATGAAGTATCAAAAGCAGTCAAAAAGCAGAAATAGAAAGCAGAATCATGGTTGCTTATGTTGGGAATAAGAGGAGAGAAAATTAGTGTTTAGTGGGTATGCAGCTTTAGTTTTACAACATGAAAATGTTCTAGGTCACACAATAGTGTGAATTCACTAAGCACTACTGAATCATATACTTAAAATTGGTTAGGTGGTAATTTTGGTGGTATGTGTTGCTTACCACAGGTAAAAAACAAACAAACAAACAAACAAAAAAGAACTTCCAGACACCTTCCTTCTCAGAAGTTCTCAGGGGGAAGTAACATTTATAAAATATTTTCATTCCAGTAATATAAAAATACTGTCTCATGTATTATATTCATAAGAAACTAAAAGCTTGAAGAATACGATGTTCAGAAGAATATGCTCAGAAATACCTAGAATGACAGATGCAGCATAATGAGCTAAATATTATTTAAACAAAGCTGCAGCATAATAACAGTGTTCTAAACAACAACAAAAAAGGGAAATGACACAAAAGTGCAGGGCAGCAGCTACACGGATGAATATATACTGGTTAAATACTGGACTAAGACCAGATGGAAGTTGTAGAATCTCATCATTATTTTCTTTGAAATAGAAGAGATCGTCACTTCAGTTTACTTGGGTGAGTTGATAAAAAGGAGAGAATAGTACTGTGCATCTCATCTACTACTAAAATTATAAGATTGTTTTAGAAAATAAATCTAAGGTCTTAAAGGAAGACATGAAAATGCACTAAAATAATGTAGAGACCAAACAAAACTTCAGCAAAATTAAACAATAAAAAAATTATTACTGATGGTAGTATAATTCAGTGCAGAAAGACCATTTCTAAAACTTCTAAAATGAATCAGAAACAGAAGGTCAATGCTTGTGCCTTAAAAATTCATATAGCATATTACACAGAATCTGCGCATGTCTGCTTATATTTTATAAAGTGCTCAGTATTTTAGGGGATGACTAAAACATCGCCAAGTTCATTGTGGATAATCTCGAAGCTGTTACATGGGAGTAGGACCCTTTCATAGCTTCAAAAGGAGTACAAGAGTTGTCATGCTGAAAAAAGAAAGAAAAGGGGAAAAAGAAACCACCACATGTGAATATAAAAAAGAAGAGAACCCTAGCCAGTTGCACCACGACCGGATGGAAGCGCCCAGCTGACACAGCCAGTCTAGGGAAGCTTGGGGTTCACTCCTTTGACTTCAGGAAAGCACTAACTGTAAGTACTCACTGATTTTTTAACTACATTAAGTAAGCCTTTGTTTTAGTTAAAATTTGATTATCTGAACAGTCACAGTGAAACCTGATGAACATTCACAGTGAAACCTGGCTCATGATGAGAACACCACTCTGATATCAGCAATTCTTTGCTTTGTAGAGCCACTGAGTACACGGCTTGCGTGACACCCCTGCCTGGATTTCAAATGAGGCTATCTTTTTAGTCATTATGAGGTTTCTAGGATATTTAATGTCAATACAGTCACATCCTTTATGTTACAATTGTACAGTGTCGTAAAGATTTGCAGCTAAAGATATGTAATGTCAATATAGTCACATCCTTTATAATTGCATAGTGTCATAAAGATTTGCAGCTAAACTTGAATTAACTAAAAGGTATTTCCAGACACTGTAAAATTTACTTGTAATGTACTACATATTATTTATAGCCTCTTGACTTTACTAAGTTATGCTACCTCCCTGTTTTAAATTATATTGTTTTCTTTATTACATTATTATTATCTTATGGTACTTACCAGACTAATTAAAATGTAAGTTTTGTGTTTCAGAGGTAAATACAGGAATATTTGAAAAAAAGACAAAGTAAAAAAAAAATATTAATTGAAATAACTAAAATTCAAAACTGAACAGTTAAGTTTATAACAAAAATTAATATATGAGTAATACCATTATTTCTCAAGTAATATGCTTGCAATTTTTGTTCTGTATGCAGCAGCAAGTGCAACATGTGAAAAGCTTCCGTCATTACTATCAAGTCCACTATCAAATAGGTATGTATTTCAGCACAGCAATGTGATATTAATATGAACAACACCCAAGCATTTGAAAACCTTCTTCTGGTCTGCAGCCACGGGGGGCGGGGGGGGGGGAGAAGACAACGGACTAGGAGAGGTAGAGTGGTGGTAGCGGCGGAGGGGGGTTACCAGGCACTCACATAGGGTTGCAAACATGGGAACAGATTTGCTAAGTTAACACTTACTACCTACTATTAGAAAATGACTTTGACTACTACAAAAAGAGAACTGGTTTATCTTTCATCTTCACTAACACACTAACCAAGTAGGTTTTCAAATAAGAATAAATAGCATCAAAAAGAATGAGAGAGTGACACTGAAGATGCCAACGTATGTATGTATGTATGTATGCATGTATGTATGTTCTTTTTCAGTACTGGAGATTGAGCTTAGGGCCTTGCTTATACTAGGCAACTGCTTTACCATTTATGTATGCTCTCAGCCATCTTTCAACTGATTATTTCAAAGCAGGGTCTCACTAAGCTGCCCAGGCTCTCCTTGAACTTGTGATCCTCCTGCCTCAGCCTCCCAAGAAGCTGTGATTAGACAGGAGCCACCAAGGCCAGCTCCCAACTAACTTTAAAGGAAACAAAAGTTAGTCACCAAGTGTGAAACAGGATCTAACCTATTGATTTGTTAACAAATAACTAGCATCTGCTATTTGGTACTGCATGATATGGTACTAATACAGTTGAAATGCTTTATTCTCTTTAAACTTTGAAACTAAACAAAGCTAGACTTACTGATGGTTCTGTCCAACTATTATTTATTTATTTATTTATTTATTTATTTATTTATTTATTTATTTAAAAAAATAGGTTTAGGTATGTTCTTTGTACTTACAGCTTTCTAGAAACATCTTGATTCTGGCTCTCTGGCCTAGAAATAAATCTGAAGAAATTATGTTCAGAGAGATATGCTAAAAATTCTGAGGAATGATTAGATTCTGTAAGCTCTGGATTTATTTATGTACTATAATAGACACAACAAGTGAAAGAACCAAGACTAGATGGTGTAATCTTTTCTTAACAATTAAGGTGAATAATGTTAAAGGAATCATGTCAAAACATTACTGATTGGTAAAACCCAATATTAATAAGGGGATGGTGATCAGATGTGATGGGAGTGAAGTTTACTGAACAGAATCAGGAGCTTTCAGAGTTAAATCTGAGTCCTAACTTGAGGACTGCCACTTAAGAGCTTTGAGGCCACGGGTAAAGATCATATGTCTGGTTCTTTCCTTACCTCATATTTTATTGTAAAAATTATATAAATGAAATAAGATAATGTGCTCAAACAGTATCTGGTTCATAGCAACTACTGAATAAAGATTAATGGTTTAGTCATTTAGCTCAAGGGTTCAATTTTGACCACACACTGCACACCCCCTAAGGAACTTTTAAAGGAAACCAGTGTCTGAATCCCATTCCAGACCAATTATATCAGGGTATCTGGGGAAGAAGCCAGACACTGGTATCTTAAAAAAGCCTTCAAGGGGAGTCTCACCTGCAGCCAGATTTGAGCACCACTGAGAATTCCTCCTACCAAGTGCCTGATTGCTGTAGCTTTGAAATCTCTAGTGGTAAGACTATCCACCTCCTAAGCTAGACTGCTTCATCCTGAAAAAAAAAAAAACCCAGAGTTTCAGACTAATTAAAAAAAATTAGTGCTTTAAAATGCAAAAAAAGAGAGAAAGCATTTACCCACAAGGAGGCAACATTTGTCTCTGCAGTTGCCATTAGTGGTTCTTGTTCTACTCTCTGAAGATGCATATAACAAAGGGAGACTCTCTTCTTCATGGTCTTATGAAACATTCCTATCTAGGGTAATGTGCCTATTTTCTTCAGCTTGCTTCTATGACAATTTGAGCTCCTCTTCCCACTGTTTGGTCCATGGTCTTTCCTAAGTATGTTGCTGAGGATGGTGAAACATGATATTCCAGGGGAGACTATCAGCTTGGGATGGAACCCAGGTCAGCAGTAACAATTTTCATTACAGATTTATGAAGTGAAGCAAGGATGGGGTTAGTTTTGTTGCAGCTGCATCACAGTGCTAATACAGCAAATGCAACTGTGTTTCTGTCAGTGCAGTTGAAGAGCTTCCTGTACTTGTACTTTTGAGCTTAAGATCTACATCCACCTTGAACCCACAGAGATCCACCAGCCACTGCCTCCTGAGTGCTGGGATCAAAGGTGTGCACCACCACATCCATCCTTAAAATGCATATGTTTTACCTTTTTTTCTGAAACCATCCTTACTAAGTCAGTCGTGAGAAGAATAGAGAGGTAAGAACAGGATAGAAGTCTAATTTCAAGTTCTGTCACTTGCTACTTCGATTTTCCGGACCTTAATTTCTTCCTCTGTAAGATGAAGGGACTGAGCTAGTGCACTCCCCAAAGCCCTTTGAACTTCAAGTGACGAAACTGAGGTGTCCTGTAGCTTACTGTAGGTGAGTTATGCTTGTATTCCCAGCAACTTCTTGATCCTTCTCTAGGATCTTAGTTATTCTAAATGTTACATAATAATAAAACGTGGTAATACAAAGACCGACCACTGCCATAATTCACAGTTTTACTAGCAGGAAGCACAGGAAGGTGTAAGACATAAAAAGAAATGGATAGAACTTGTGTGTTGGTTCCTTAAAGGACTTTTGCTTTTGATAATGATATGCTGGGTTATTCAGATCAGCCCTGTCTCAGGGACATAAAAAAAACTGAATGAAATATAGAAAACATTGAAGAATTAACACAAAAGTGTATAATAACTGGGTCCAATTCAAAAGTAAGAACCCAGAGAAGACTGGCACCCAGAGGCACTTGTCTGGAAGACATTCCGTCTCCTTGTCACTTCGTTATAGTTAACACACGCCAACTGTACAAACTGACGGCATTCACTGTGGCATTTCTGGAAAAGCATTCATTGTGCATTGATCAAGTCCTGCTTCCCTGCCCTTTAGCGTTTTTCCCTCAATTTCTACTCCTCTGCCTCTTTCAGTCTCTGATAATTCCTCTTCCACTTTAAAATCATCTTGTTTATTCATTTGTTTCCACAGGAGATAAACATATGCTATTTTTCTGTTTCTGTATTTTAACACGTCCTCCATTTCCATCCATTTTCCTATAAATGACACAATTACAACTTACTTTATGTTATGAAAAAAAAAAGATCTACAGCCAGCACTTTACATATATTTCTCCCAAATACACTCTTCATTCAGTAATACTCACTGTGCTAAGTACCTGGTACACAGAGGCAAACAAAATAGACTTGATTCTTAACCCTAATGAGGTTAAAAATCTATCATGAAGAGAATAAATTACTCAATAGATGAATTTTTCGTCACTTCAGCTCCCTGAGCTGTTAGTCACATCACTTGAGTCTCAGTGTCCTTAAACCCAATGGATAGGATGTCTCTACTGGAGCCCCTGAGAAGTCCCTGTGTAACCACACAACACAGTTTCCTCTCCACAAAACCCTTTCTTCTTCCTGGTAAGGCACACTGCATTATCAGCAGCATGCTATCCTTCCTAGATTGCCTTTTCTTAAAAAGATGTCAGATCACAAGAAACATGCCTGGATGTTTGTACATTTTGAAATTTGTCTTCCTGTAGCTTAGACACAGCCACAGCACAGCCTAGACTCAATTCTTCCTTCCTCCCTCCCTTCCTTGTTATCCCTCTCCCCTTCTCCCTCCACTGTCCTAAATTCTAGAGACAGTTCTCATCGGGGCTTAGAGAACTTCCTCTTCACTAGCCACTTCCTCTTCCTTGGAATCAACTCCTCTGCTTTGTCAAATTTTAAAGCTAAATGCTACTTTCTATCAAAAGATCATTCTTGATGAAAAGATAGGTAGAGTTTTAAGAGAGGCTACATTCCTCTAAATATTCTTTATGTATAGCGTCAAATCAAGAAATCAATTACGCAAAAACAAACATTGCATGTTTTCTCTCATATGCAGAATCTAGATATAAAAATACAGCTTGTTAGTAGCAAAAACAATGAGTCTTTCTGCAAGGAACAATATATTCTAAAACAAAATGGAGATCTTTTTTAAAGGTTAAAAAACTCATTCAATTTTATGCCTTACAGGGCTTATACTGAGTTCAATATTGTATAACTGTATTAACTCAACTGTGAACCTAGAAAGTTGCACCCACGTGTGAAAGAGATGTACTCTAATATGTTAAATCTGTAGTGAAATGCTTCTTCTAATCATGTGGTTATTAAAAATTAAAAAAATAATGATAAAAAATACAGTTTGTATAAGACATAAAAAGCAGAAGGAGGAGGATAATATGGGTGGGAAGAGATTGAAGGGAAGGGGAACAATAAAGGGGAAAGGAGGCAAAGCAAGACAAATATTGTATGTTCTCTTTCATGTGGAATCGAGATTTAAATATCTATCCATCCATCTGACATTAAAGCAAAGAGGGGACTATGTGGGGAGGGGTGCAGGGAGAGTAAGGAGGCCAGGAGATAGCAATGAGAGCAAAGTACAATGGTGTATGTGTGGGAAATGTCTCAAACACATTCTGTACACTAAAAATTTGATAAAAAAGAAACAAAAAGAAAGAAAAGGAGATTAGTTATTGTGCTGAGATGTGGTATTATATTTGCTTCACATGCATAAAGCCCTGGGTTTGATCCTCAGCATCACAAAATGATAACAAAAAATTAGTTATTGTAATTGAGATTCACTTTTTACTATTGCATTTTGCATTCGATTGCACATTCCTCTAAAAATGTTTACTGGGAGCAGGGTCTCTCTCTTAACATTGTTTTCCAAGTGGTAATTATCTAAACGTAAATATTTAGTAAAATTACACTGAACATCATTGTTTTTTAAAAATATATTTTCACTTATTATTTTTATTTTATGTGTATGAGTGTATTGCCTGCATGTATGTGAGTGTATCCGTGTCGTGCAATGCCGTGGAGGTCAGAAGAAGGCGTCAGATTCCCTGAAACTGGAGTTAAGGACAGTTCAGAGTCGGCATGTGGGTGCTGGGAATTGAACCTGGGTCCTCTGCAAGAGCAGTCAGCGCTCTTAACCGCTGAGCCATCTCTCCAGCCCCACATTATTGTTTTTTAAAAAAAATTATTTATGCCGGGTGTGGTGGCATACACCTTTAATCATGTTTGTAAGCGCACCAGTGTTGTGTAGTGCCTGCAGAGGGCAGAAGAAGGTGTCTGATCTCTTGGAACTGGAGTTATGGATGGTTGTTAGCCACCATGTGGGTGGTGGGATTCAAACCTGGGTCTTCTGTAAGACCAGCCAGTGTTCTTAACTGCTGAGCCATCTCTCCAGCCCCAATTGACCACTATTGTTTTTTAAACCTGTTTTTTTTTTTTCAGTGCTGGGGATTGAACCCAGGGCTCCACCATATACTAGACATATAGTATACTAGACTATACTCAGTGCTCTAACACTGAGTTACAAACTCCAGCTCCAAAACAACCTTTTTAAAACACTTATTATGTGTCAGGATAATGTTCTTTATATACATTTTTCATTTTTACGAACAAGAAAAATGGAAGCTTAGAAAGGATTATTTGTCCTTCATCACAGTGTTAGGTCTGATTTTGAAAACCCTACTTTGAAGTCTTAAATTTCTTATTACATTTATTTATTTGTGTGTGTATTTGCACAGGTGTGTGCCACAGCACATGTCTAGAGGTCAAAGGAAAACTTTTGGGAGTTAGTTCTCTCCTTCTACCACGTAGGTCTCAGGGACCAAACTCAGATTGTTAGGCTTGAGGGAACATACCTTTACCCCACAGAGCCATCTCACCTGCCCTCTGTTCTAGTCTTTATGTTACACCCACTAAAGACTGTTACAAAGAAACAGGGAAGTTACTGTAAGAAAAGAATGCGAGGACACCTGCTAGAACTTTCTCCTTATGTGTTCTAGGTCCCAGGAGTCAAATGCTCAAGAATTGTCCAATAGCACGTAGCACTGGGAACATTCTCTGCAGCCATGAACAAGTAGAATGCATATACTTAGAAGGTTCTAGCAATAATCTCAAATAATATAACCAAGGGCATAAACTTCATTTAGTTACTCTTACATTCTTGGACTGTATGCCCTCTTTCTCATCATTATTACCTTATACTTCTGGGCCAGGATGTCTTATTGGCTGCTGCTATCTGATTTGGTTTTGTTTGGCCACTGTGTTCTCCTGTGACTGTGAAAGGAGGCAAGGACCCAGCTCTCTTGGTCTTTTATGGTAACTACATGTTCCTGTAGATAAGTAATTATAAGTAAACACAATTCTCCTATCTTGGTTTTATGTGAAGGAAGAAATTTGCAATCCTCTCTCCTATTCTCACTGTGGAAGGAGCAATCACCACAATTTATCCATCATACACCCCATGTCAAAATAAGTGAATGCAAGAGGCAGTTCTGAAGCTAGGGAGGCTGAGCAGGGAGCCCAGCTCATTCAAGGCTATAAAGCGCTTTTAGAAGAAATTAATGCTCATCTTTGAAAAATATGTGCTGCTATTTCTTTGGACTATGTCTATTCCCATAACAATATTCCTAAGAAAGGATGCTCATAGGGTTTATTTATTTATTTATTTACTGATTGACTGATTAATATTTTTGAAATATGGTTTCACTATGTAGCTCAGGCTGGCCTAGAATTCACTATGTAGACCAGGCCAGCCTCAAACTCAGAGAGCCGCCTGCCCCTGCCTCCCAAGTGCTGGGATTAAAGGTGGGTGCCATCATGCTAGGTATTTTAATAAGTGAAATCAGCCCTAAGCACATGCCACAGCTTTAGGAAAGCTTTGAGAGATCCTACCATATTTACTGCTTACTTTGTGATATGATAATGCTATTAAATAGATCATATAGATAGCCAAATGGTCCCCAATAGGATAAGGTTTGAAACAAAATATGAGTTATTTATGCTTTGTGTTAAAATAGCTGTTATTAACACAGCAAATGACCCAATATCTGGCATTCTATTGTAGGGAAAATCTGAAGGCATAAGAAGTACACACCAAGAACATGCCATTTATCATTCGATTTTGATCCCCACAGAAGACGTTGTGAAGTGACACGGTAACAATGACAACCACTTCAGCTGGCAGCTGGCCTTGCTCCTCCCATGGACTGTACTTTATAAGTAATCACAGTGACCAAGCCTCACAGAACTTCTCAGGAGTGTCCAATATCACCACCTGTCCAATGGATGAAAAACTACTATCTACTGTGTTAGCAACCTTCTACTCTGTTATTTTTGTCGTGGGACTGATTGGGAACATCATTGCCCTCTATGTATTTCTGGGTATCCACCACAAAAGGAATTCCATTCAAATTTACTTACTTAACGTGGCCATTGCAGACCTTCTACTCATCTTCTGCCTCCCTTTTCGCATCATGTATCACATCAACCAAAACAAGTGGACACTGGGTGTGATTCTTTGCAAGGTTGTTGGGACACTGTTTTATATGAACATGTACATTAGCATTATTTTGCTTGGATTCATCAGTTTGGATCGCTATGTAAAAATTAATCGGTCTATACAACAACGAAGGGCGATAACCACCAAACAAAGTATTTATGTTTGCTGTATAGTATGGACAGTTGCTCTTGCTGGATTTTTAACTATGATTATTTTAACCCTTAGGAAAGGAGGGCACAATTCCACAATGTGTTTCCATTACAGAGATAAGCATAATGCAAAGGGAGAAGCAATCTTTAACTTCGTTCTTGTGGTAATGTTCTGGCTTATTTTCCTATTAATAATTCTCTCATATATTAAGATTGGCAAAAATCTACTGAGGATTTCTAAAAGGAGGTCAAAATTTCCCAATTCTGGTAAATATGCTACTACAGCCCGGAACTCCTTTATTGTACTGATCATTTTTGCTATATGTTTTGTGCCCTATCATGCCTTTCGATTCATCTACATTTCTTCGCAGCTCAATGCATCATCCTGCTACTGGAAGGAAATTGTTCACACAACCAATGAGATCATGTTGGTTCTCTCATCTTTCAATAGCTGCTTAGATCCAGTCATGTATTTCTTGATGTCTAGTAATATTCGCAAAATCATGTGTCAACTTCTTTTTAGACGATTTCAAGGTGAAGCAAGCAGAAGTGAAAGCACTTCAGAATTTAAACCAGGATATTCCCTGCATGATACATCTATGGCAGTCAAAATTCAGTACAGCTCAAAAGGCAATTGAGGCACACATGGTAAAAAGAGTAATACAAGCCAGCCTCTTCATTCCTTGAAGATCTGTAAAATTAGGAAACAAAGCCACAGAATGTACAGAACTTAGATCTTCATTAGTGCTAGTTCACTGGCTAAACTGTAAAGTATTTCAAGGCCAAGAACTCATACCCACCCTTGGATTTTCAACCTGCATGTAAAATCTTCTCAGAATATATTGTTAAGCTAACATTCTTAACATGGATTACAAAGTTAAGTGAAGAATTTAACAACAAAATAATTCAATGAAGTGTTATCATTTTACAAGTCACTAAAGGGTTACTAAAATTAGGCACTTGATACTAATTTTAAACATGCTTTAAAATACAGTAATTTGGGGACTGATTTAAAATGTCAAAAAATGTTGTTACTTTAAAAGCTTGTATAATATGCTGTTGTTTTCATTTATGTCTAAATCTCTGCTAACAGATGAAATAACATAATTTTAATAAAAGTGAGATCATCCACTATTAGTGCTTACATAAAAATGGGAAGAATCTAAACACGGTTCAGTAAAAACAAAATATATGAGCTAAAGAGTTGTGGTCCCCCCCTGTGAGCCTGGAGCCGTGGTCCCCTTCTGTGAACTGGAGCTGCTGCCCCCTCCAGTGAGCCTGGAGCTCTGGTCCCCTCCTGTGAGCTGGAATGTTATCCCCTCCAGTAAAACTGGAGCTGTGGTCCTCTCCTGAAGGCTGGATCTGAGGTCCCCTCCTGTCAACTAGAGTTGTGGTCTGTTCCTTGTCCACCTGGACCTGTGGTCCCTCCCATGGGCTGGAACTGTGGCATCCTCCTCTGAACTGGAGCTGTGGTCCCTTCCAGTGAACCTGGAGCTGGGGTCCCTACCCGTGAACCTGCAGCTGTGGTTCCCCTAACTTGAGCCATGGGTCCATAGTCCTCAGGTGGTAGGCTGATGGTGGAACAGGTTGGAGGAGGGAGGACATCCTGATGTTGGGCAGCAGTTCCAGCCTTCTCTGAGTGGCTGAATTCCCTACAACCCCCTCCTTGAGAGGTGCATGACACTGGCTTGGCCTGTGTTGGACCTGTGTGAGGGACAGAGAGTTTGCCTGTGTTGGACTTGTGCTAGGGACAGTTTCTGTCATTTGCACTTTCTAGTCTTGGGAGGACTGATTCTCAAGAATGGACCTCCCACCTCCATGATGGCCAGCTGTGGTCTTGACTCCCCACCTGATCCTGGGCACCCAGGCCTTGAGGTTGGACCTTTCCCATTCCCAGGCACCAAGAGGTTTTCCATTATTTTTCTATTACTCTTCTATAGCCCCCAGGTGCCTTCACCTGTGCCCTACAGAAAATGTAAAACACCTAATTGAATTTCTAGAGATAAAAATCACAGTCTGGGAAGATAAAAAAAAGATAGTACTCTAATAACTAAACTGATATAATTCTCAAACTAAAAATATGCAGTTGTATTTTAGAATGTAAATTCACAATTATATGTCTACTATACTTTTTGAGAATTATTTACTGACAAAACTGTACTACCAAACTTCAACAATAATGTGAAATTGTCACTGAGTTTGGCTTTCACTCCCTCTTCAAACTCTCCAACCTATTCAAATTTTTCAATGTAATTTTTTAAAGAAAGCAATGCTAATACAAATTTTTAAAATAAAAAATATATAAACTAAGAAATTGATAGCCTGGCAAAAGGACTGACTTAAAGTAGATTTATAAATGATTCAGTCATCTCATTTTGATAAAGTAAGGCTGAGGATGTGCACACCTTATAATCCAGCAAGTCCGCTGATATTTCTTTTTGGTCTTTTCTAAGACAGGATCTCCCTGTAGCCCCAGCTGGCCTGGAAATCACTATGTAGACCAGGCTGGCCTTGAACTCACAGAGATGTGCCTGCCTCTGCCTCCCCACTGCTGGGATTAAAGGAGTGCACCACCATGCCCGGTCAAGCTATATTTCTTAGAGAATTGCTCAAATGCTCACAACAAGAACATACATACAATGATGCTCAGTGTTTATAATAGACAACAACTGGGAACAATTTGGTATGCCTCAGTCAAAACTTGGAGAAGCAAACTGTGGTCTATTGATGACAAGGACTACTTTACCACTTCAATGCAATTAAACACACATACATGTCACTAAGGGGCATCTCAAAAACAATACCAAGTGAGCAAGAAAAGGGATCACATGAAAACATTCAGGCAAAATACACAAATACATAAACACTATCATTTTATTTATGTATCCATACACATGTACACATGTACAATGCATGGCAACATACACGATGACACACACCAACTTAAACTTAATGGTCACATCCGGAGAGATTTGACACAGTCAAAGGTTAACGTGCATTAAACTTGAGTGCATGGGTGTTTGTTATTTTGGTAAATTTAAGCATTTGAAAGATTTTGTAACAATAAAGATAATCTGCATATTTGAATTAAGAGGAACAAATTGAAATTTTCATGTGTGTTCAAGAATAAACATTAAACTCTAAGAGAAAGGGAATCATCACTGACTCCTAGCTTAGTGTATCACTTGGCATGTAGGAAATCAGTATTTGCTGAGTAGTTGAATGAATGTATGAATACAGAAAAGAGAGCTAGACAATAAAATGGGGAGGAAGATAATGAAAGGATGTTTAAAAGAAAAATAGAGGATAATCAGCTCTCCTACCTCCCAGTCAGTGTTTTGGATATAGTTGCAAGGAACATTGTATAGATGCAATCTAGGGAGAAGGTGTCATTAGGAAAATCGTGAAAGTTTGGCTAATGTGTTTCCAATTTTTTGGGGGGGTCTTTTTGAGACAGGGTCTCCTTGTAGCCCCAGCTGTCCTGGAACTCCCTATGTAGACCAGGCTGGCCTTGAACTCAGAGATCTGCTTGCCTCTGCCTCCCAAGTGCTGGGATTAAAGGTGTGTGCCACCCATGTTTCCAATTTTTGGCCGTACACAGAAATAGATGCCATTGACTGACTATGGAAAAGGCTGTCATGACAAACTCCAAGGATCCATTCATATGTTTCTTTCACAGAATACACATTATTATTTTCAAGTCAGAATACTTCTTAAGTCTAATGCTCTCCCAACCAAGCTATTTCAGTAGCTAGAATATTACTTAAAACTCAACCTAGGCCACTGGCTGGGAAATCATTGTCAAAAAGCATTAAGATTTTTGACTGGGCTGAATTTTATTTTAATGAGATTTGATTATATATAGTTAGCATTCAGTTAACCATATTTTGGAAAGTGCACAAATAGAATGAATAAAGAATAGGTCAAGCAAAAGCATACTTGAAAAAACAAGTAACATTTGAGGATTAAAAACTTGGAAGTTTTGGGGCTGGGGAGATGATTCAGAGGTTAAGAGCATTCGCTGCTCTTGCAGAGGATTGGGGTTCTATTCCTAGCATCCATATGATAGCTAACAATCATCTGTAACTCAGTTTCAGGGGATACAACACCCTCTTCTGGCCTCTTCAGGTGCCATGCATGCAAATGGTGCATGTACGTATACACAGGCAACACACACACACAAACGAAAAACACAAATATTTTTTTTAAATGGATGTTTTTCGGAACAATTTGGAGCTCAGAAAAAGTATTAAAATGATTTTAATTATGTTGCTCTGACAATGCTAACAATACCATCTAAATGAAATTTAGTACTTCTGTTTGTATAATTTTAAATAATGAAAACTTTGATCATATTACTGGTAAACATTTTATAACGCTTGATTTCTGTATAGTAAATACACAGTTTAAATTGTTTGTATTATCGAGGGATGGGGAGATTGCTCAGTGGGTAAGAGTGCTTGCTGTGCAAGCATGAGGACACAGGTTCAAATCCCTAGCATCCACAAAAGCTGGGCATGACTACACATGCCTATAACTTGAGCACTGGGGTGGGGGTGGGGATGGAGGCAGATGAATCCTGGGAGCTTGATGATCACCTAGCCTAGGAGACAGAGCAGGATACTCAGTGTCCTCTTCTGGCCTCTCCATGTACATGCGCATGTGTGCATAACTGTGCACATGTACCCACATATATGTGCATATACATGCATGCATACATACAGAATTATCAGTTACTATTAGTTTTCAGTAACACTAAAATAAAGTTTTTGAAACTATCTCATTTATATTAAATGACATTATTCCTATAAAGCCTCACACAATGGCATTCTTAAAAACATTTAGGGGTTGGAGAGATGTCTCAGCAGCTAAGAGCATGTACTGCTTTTGCAGAGAACCAGACTTTAGTTCCCAGCACCCACATCAGGTGGCTTACAACCACCTGTAACTCCAGCTCCAGAGGATTCAACACCTCTTCTGGCCTCCATGGGTACCTGCATTCATGTACACACACCCATACACAGACATACACATATAAACATAATTTTTTAAACATGTATACTGAAGAGGCTGGAGATTTGGCTCAATGGGTTAAGAGCACTTGCTGCTCTTGTAAATGACCCAAGTTCAGTTCCCAGCACATACATGGCAGCTCACAATGATTTGTAATTCAGGGGATCACACACCCTCTTCTGGCCACTGTGGGCACAAGTCATGTGTGTGGTGCACATACACACATGCAAGAAAAACACTCAAACACCTAAAATAAATCAAAAAATTTTTAAATTATTTATTTTTTTCTTTTTATGTGTATGAGTGTTATGCCTGCATGTGTGTAAATGCACCTGTGTCATGCAGTGTCCAGGAGGACAGAAGAGGGTGTCGGATCCCCTGGAACTGGAGTTATAGACAATTGTTAGCTGCCATGTGGATGCTGGGATTTGAACCTGGGTCTTCTGCAAGAACAGCCATTGCTCTTAACCACTGAGCCATCTCTCCAGATCAAAATAGATAAAAATTTTATACTGAATGAACTCAAGTTATTTTCATTAAAATAAAATTTGATTACATAAATCTGCCTGTGCTCTCCCAATGAAGGCCAGAGGTCAATGTCAGGTGTCTTCTTCAATCACTCTTCGAGAACCTTGTTTTTGAGATAGGTTCTGAACCTATCGCACTGAACCTGGAGCTCAGATCAATCTAGACTAGCTGGCTAGCAAGCCCCTGTGATCCTCCTGTCTCCATTTCCCCAGTTCTGGGACTACAGGTGTATACTGCCATGCCCAACTTTTTTATGTAGGTGATGAGGATTGAACTCAGGTCTTAATACTTGTGTGGCAAGCAGTTTATTGAGTAACACAATTCCCAGGCTCACACGATGACTTCTATTAAAAACAAAAATTCCCAATGTCCCCCAAACCTAAGGAACCATTAATATGTATTTGTGGCAAAATATTGTTTGCCATTCATCAAAATTTTATGATGCCCCCAAATCCCAGACTTTCAAGAATTTCTTTCTAGCTATCACACATTTGTGCACCCTGAAAGTTCTACCTGAAACATGAAAGCTATTTCCAGGCAAACTCATAGTGATGGAACAGAAGAAAAAAATAAAACAGAATTAATGCATTTTATCCTAATCAATTTTGTTTCTAGCCCATGAAACACATAAAGA